ATTTCAATATAAATAATAAGTTGTTCAAATTAGTTTTTAACCAGAGGAAAACAGGCTTTTCTTGCTAGAAAAAATCTAATAATTGAATAAATTTCTATGAAAAAATATTAATGAAATTAATATAAATCATAATAAGGTCAAGATTTTTAGGATAAGATAATAATAATGTAATAATCTTTAATGAGGGGCTTTTATTGTAATTGGTCAATTTTTGTAGCCAGTGATAGAGAAAAAATTTTATTAGTTAATCGAAATTAATCAAAGTTCTAAACATCATGAATAAAAAACTGATATGCATAAAAATAATTATATCAATATAATCTTTACCATGAATTCTCAATAACTTTAAATCTAAAACTATATAATCTTTTCTCAGACAAAAATCTTAACAAACCAATATTTATTCATAACATACTACAAATCAAAAAAGAAAAATGAACCAAAAACAAAAAAAAACAAAAAAAAACATGAAATAAATGTTTAAACCTATTACAGAACACTAATTGCTAATAAAAAATAGTCAAAAGCAAACATATAGTACGCTCAAATATCAAACTAATCTTAAATTTTATTTAAAAAATCGTTATTCAGTTACAGTACCATTACGCTTTAACTCTTCTCACGAAATCTATAAACCTTATGACTCTTAAATTCATATTATTAGCCTATATTATAATCAGGTTTCTATATTAGTTGGGATTACGAAGAATAAGTTTTCACAAAATATGTAAAAGATAGTTTAATTGCCGAGTTTAATTGATTTACTTTGCCTATAAGTTAACATTTAAACGTTCAAACATACCTCTCATCTAACTTCCAAATTACTTCGCGGAGTACTGAATTACTTTGACAATTTATAGATCGGAAGGTATTCTTTCGATTTTTTTTTGATATCGAGCTTCACCAATTCGTATCCGTGGCCACCAAACCGTTTTTGTAACAGCGAAACGTACGCCACTATGTAGACATATTGAGTAACATTTCGTGTCAATCATCCAATCAAATTAAAGCCCGCTATGTTACGCCCTGGCGTTGTCACCGTACTCCTCTTTTGGCCTTCACGATATATAGACCAATAAAATCAATGCCATGTACCAAGGGGATGTTCAACTATAAATTTGGACCATTTTGCACCGATAATAATTAAATTTAACATGTCAAAATTAACACCGAAATTTGAGGTATGAATTTTATAATTACTGTATATTAATAACAAGATTAGTTAAATTATTTACTTTTGAATAGGTTTGTGTCGATTCTGTGAAATCTGCTATAACTGCAGGTACTTATATTCCTTTTCATAAAAAGATGATAAATAATTGAAAGATATTTTATAATTTTTTTTTATTTTTATTTACTGAATTAAGAAAACGGAGGTGCATCACGTGTTGAGCTGTGTGATAATTTGGCAGAAGGCGGGACTACACCAAGCTCAGGTAATATTTTACGTTAATATGGAGTCAAAGATTGAATAAAATTTATGTGATTTAGTTATTTAAATATAGGAATGATTTCAATGGTTCTTAAACGATTAAAGATTCCTGTTATGGTGAGTCATCGAATTTCTTTTATGTTATCATACTTATATAAATATATATATATTTTAATAAACTTAAATTATGTGTTTAGGTTATGATAAGGCCAAGGTATATGAAATGAAATAACCTATGAATAATCAAATGAAGGCTAATATTATATTAATGTGAATAGGGGCGGAGATTTCTGTTATAGTGAAGAAGAAATCGAAGTAATGTGTTTGGATATTCAACATGCGAAAAATCTTGGAGCACATGGAGTCATTTTTGGAATTTTAAAGCCTGATGGTAGCGTAGATGTTGAAAGAGTTGCCAAGTAATAATTAATACTAATTCTTCGGCACATCATTTTTTTTTAAATTAAAAAAAAAGGTATTCATAACATTTTTTTTTTTTAGGTTAGTTGAAATTGCGAGTCCTATGGAAGGTTAGCATT